ATATTTTTATAGCCTTGCAAAAACCCTTCTATCAAAATTGGCACCATATACTTACGGTTTCAGAAGTATTTGGTGATCCTTGACTGGGTTTATGGTGTTACTGAAGATTTTGAATGGTTTTAGAATCCCTTATCTATTGCAAGTTAACGAGCTACCCCCAGCCAAGTGCTTTAAACACTAACAATTTATCACTATTCAAGAGCTCTGGTCGGCTGTGAGGCTCTAATGAGATAGGCACAATTTATCTCAGCTGGGCCTGCTCATGCATCTGAGCTCCCTGGCAGAAGGACAATGCTGGCGGCTCCAAGGTCACATCTTTCTTTGTGTAGTAGACTGGCCTGGGTTTGATCATCTGGTGTGTCCAGAGTTCCAAAGTGGAATGCTTACTAAAACACTGAAGATTCAAGCTTGCAGGTGGCAGAATGTTATTCACAGTTCTTGGAGGATCACGATAATTCACAGAGCTTGATTCAAAGGATGGAGAAACAGACTCCAGTTCTTGGTGTAATAGCCTCCAAAGTATAGCTGCAAATGGGCATGGTGGACACTGTGTGTATGTTTGCTACCATAGTCATCAGACTTGTTCTGTTGCAACATCTAGATATTATTTAGAATTCTTTGTTAACTCATTATGCTGACACAGATCACATCAAAAGGCAAACTAGGCATCATCTTCTGTATTATATGTTTATGCTTCTCTTCTATTTGGTTAATTTGCAGGTTATAACTTCCAAATGTAATAAGATGATGTCTCTGTAATTTATAGTGTTGACAAAACCAATGAATTTTTTCCTAGGTTCAGTTGTTGTTGAATCCTCCACTCAAGGCTCCTGCAAATTAGGGTGTTCTTTTAAGGGGTCTGCATGTGAGACTTCTAGATCTACTTTTCTTATATATTTCTCAGAGCGTGTTCTCCCATTTTGCAAATTAATCTGAAAGTTTGTCTTGCAATTCACCAGGAATGATTCCAGATTTGCCCTTTTGCTCTGCCTCTGGATAATTCACTTAGATCAAATTTCTGTCATTAAAATATCTCTAATAATTTAATTAGGCTCTTCATTTAAATATATGTGAGAGGCAATATTAATTTGATGCATCAAAAACGCACATTGTACCTAGAGCTATCAGATTTTGATCTTTTAATTACTTAATTTTAAAATTTATTATATTTTCATTAAACTGCAATTACATTAATTCCTCTTCCCTTTCCTCCTCCTATCCTATCTTATTGGAATAATGTCTTCCTTCTCAAATATTCATGCCTTCTTTTCTTTATTAATTTACATATAAATAAGCACAAAAATATATAAACACAACTTGCTGTGTCATGTTTGTATGTATGTAATTTCAGGAATGACAACTTGGTGTCAGATAATCATTTGATGTGCTCTTCCCTAGGGAAGACTATTTCTCCATCTCTCAGCCAAGATTTTTACTAGGTTTTCATTCTCTGTGTAGGGCTGAAGTACACTGGGTTTCCCCCTTATACATTATTATGACAGTTGTTGTCCTTGTTAAGCTCATGTTTAGGCAGTTTTATTAATCAGACTATGGGTAGAGCTTCTACAATTATTAGGAGACAATGTTACAGCAAATCTAGTGATCCTTGGGCTCTTACAGATCTTTTTGCCCATTATTCAGCAAGGATTCCTGAGCTGTAGGTTAAGAAGCTGTTTTATAGATAGGTCCTTTAGGGTTGAGTTCAACAGCTCTTCACATTGATTGCTTGTTTTTTTTCTGTAAGGTCCCAGTCTGTTGCAAATATGTTAACCTGATGAGGAGTGAGGACTACACTTATACACCTGTAGGTACAAGAGCAAATAATTAGAATGTAATTAGGGATTACGCTGGCTTAATGGAATGGTGGTTGTAGGTTCTTCTACAAGAGCCATGGATTTCTCCAACTCTTAGTTGATAAGGTTTTCATTACCAGCTGTGATGTCCTTCTCGATGCATGTGTCTGTAAGCATAATTAGAGATACCTTGGGTGCCTTCACCTATGTGTGTCACTACTGTATGCTTAGCATTATCATGCTGTGCTGGTCATTTTTGTGGTTTATGAGAATCACAGCTGACTAGTACAATTGCATCTCTCTTTTGAAACTTGCATGATGCCTCTGGCACCATAAAAGCAATCCTCACTGAGGAGTCATTCAGGTCATTTCTAGATAATTGTCTTCTGAACCCTGTATTTGAAATGCATGATGTCTTTTGTGAATGGAATCTTGCCTTCTATCTCAAGGATCCAACCACAGACAATAGCAATAGACTGTAATGTTTTAGGAAACTCTTAACAAATAACTCAAAAGCAACTCTCATACCTGGTGTTGGGGTTTACGTTAAATTGTCTCTGGCTTTTGGAGGGAGCATTGTAGGTCCAGATGGGACAATTTCATTTAAAATATATATTTATACACACACCTACATGTATAGTGCAGATTTTTAAGTAGATAGTTAATATGCTGATTCCTTATAACCCTTTTGACATCTTATGTGTTTTCTTGGTATAGTGGTTTAAATTATTGTTGCTGTTGGTGTTTTTTAGTTGATTCATTGTCACCAAGTTATAGAAGTTTTCTATGGCATTAAGTCTTGATTAGGAATAGGATCTGTAAATATTTACAAAAGCTGGTGATTGAATATTCACTCATTTGACTGGTTCTGTCTCCATTCAAAAGATTTTTGGGAACTCTTGAAAAACATTTAATAGTGTGACAAGACAGAAATCCTAAAAGGTATGAGGTAAGGATGTACTACTGTTAAATTACACATCTGAAGTAACAGGACATTGGTCAACACCATCTAACAATGAAAGATATGATTAAGCAAAGACAAGTTGCATAAAATCTGCCATGTCCCATATTTCATTGTCATACTTCATAAACTTAGGAAAACTTTTTACTAATATACTTTACTATGAAGAAAATATCTATTTGAAAAAATTAAAATGCCCTATCTCAACTGAGAATTATTTTCATATGTAATGCTCAATTATATTATATTTAGTAATACTTTTTTATCCAAAATACTATTCTAGGGGTTGGAGAGATGGCTCAGTGCATAGAGCACTTGCTGTTCAAGAAGGATGACCAGACTTCAAATCTCCAGTACCTACAAAAGCAGATGGGCATGGCCTCAGACATATAACCACAATGTGGGGTAGAGAACTTGGATCCTGGCACCTAGTCCAATGAGAGACCCCATAACAAGACAAAAAGGCAGGAAGTGATATTATATAACACACAATATTCTCTGACTTTCACACTTATGAAAATCCATTACATACACACACACACACACACAGAGAGAGAGAGAGAGAGAGAGAGAGAGAGAGAGAGAGAGAGAGAGAGAGAGAGAGAAAGAGAGAGAATATTCAAGTAAGGTGATAAAGAAATGTCTGGGCCTGTCAGAATGGCTCAGCAGGTAAAGGTGCTTGACAATCCAAGGTCAATTCTTGGAACAGAAATGACTCCTGAAAAATTTCTTTAGAATATCGCACATGTGTACTGTTACATATATGCCCTCATGCATATACATATTCATACAGAAAATAAATGTAATTAAAATTGATGTCAAAGTTAATGTTCCATTATTTCTGGACATTTCTCAGCTCCTTAAAATTACTTATTTATACATATCTGAATGCACTTATGTATTAAAGTTCATATGTATTTATGCAGATGTTATACATTTCAAGTTTTTTATGAATGTTGTTCAAGGTGATTTGGAAGACTGTTGATAGAATAACTTTGTATTTTGAATTTTAAACGTATTTTGTTTTAGGTTGTTGGGAAGAATATCCTGAATGTATATTACTGAACTGGAAAGGGGAATAAACAACTCTACAGTACATTAGTTTATAGAGAACAGGAATACTTACAATTCCACATATAAATAATACTGCTTTATCATTTAAGACAGTGTCTGTTCATAGAAAACATCTTCTCACTGGCTCTTACTACTTTATGATATCAAAGCCGTGACTTGTAAGCACTTGCACAAGGGAACAGGGTTATCAGTCTTCACACAGTGTGCTTTCCTATGTTATAGCATGCAGTGTCTCTGTCCTGGATCTCAGGAAGTGCTATAAGCCACTTCTCAAATAAAAGCTGTTCTCTGAAGATTTCCTAATGTCCTAGGATGCATTAATCTCTCTCTGTGTCTCTCTGTCTCTCTGTCTCTCTGTCTCTCTGTCTCTCTGTGCCCCTAGGGGAGACCGTGGAACATCAGCCTCACTTTTACTTCCTGTTTGTTAAGATAAACTCTTACAATGTCTCTCTCTCTCTCTCTCTCTCTCTCTCTCTCTCTCTCTCTCTCTCTCTCTCTCTCTCAAAGCCTTTTGTGCACTATCTGGAAAAATACCAGACCCTCAATAATGATAATTACCTTTTGTTTTCCTTTCAGGTGCCTTGTTTCCCATTACAATGTTGTTAAGTGGCCTTTCTATCCTGTTCCTCTGGGCCTTTTTATTTCTGGCAGGTAGCCTAGCTCTTAGTGCACCACTGGCCACTTTATACATGTTTGATCAAAAACTAAAGGGATGACTGCTGCATTTACAGTATGACAATGGAAGAAAGAGGATGGTCTACATTAAAAACTTTCCCATTTGTCAAATGGAAAAAGAATCTATGAAAGACAGATTTTTCTAAGACATGAGAAAGAATGTGCGTGGTCCAACACTCTCATAAGCAAGAAAGTGAAGGTAGCCCTTCTAGAAGAACATCAGGTGGTACAATTATTATGTTACAGAACTCAAGGTTTTCACTTAAAGTTGAATTAATCATCTATCATATACCACCCAACTTAGACTTTCATATCTTTAAAGTTGAGTAACGTATTTCTTGCATTTTCATGGATAGATAGATAAGATACAATATGGGTGATAAAGAAATGTCTGGGCATGTCAGAATGTCTATCTGAGTGCTACAAAAATAATATAAGCTACACTTGTTTCGATTTTTCTTTTTTAAATATTTTATTTTTATGTAAAAATTTTTTAGATAAAAAAATCTATACCAGATGCAGTGAACCACAACCAAGAACTCGGCCAAGCTCCAGGAATTCAGTCAAAGAGAAGGAGGAGGGGATATATGAGCAAGGTATGTGAGACCATGATGGAGAAATCTACAGAGGTAGCTGAACCAAGCTTGTGGAAACTCTAGACCCACAACTGTGGAGACTCAAGGGGCTGAAGTTGGCCCTCCATATGTGGGAGACAGTTGTGAAGCTTGAACGAGCTGGAAAGGCCCCTGGCAGTAAAACCATGATAAAAACTTAGTACATGAGCTAGCTTGTTGGAGCCCATTCACTATGGTGGAATGCCATTCACAGCCTTACTGAATGGGAGAGGGGCTTGGCCCTTCTCCAACCTATTGTGCCAGAATATGGTGACTCCTCATTAGAGCCCTTACCCATGAGGATGAGTGGACTGGGGTTGGGCTGGGGGTGAGGTAAGGAGGGGTGGGAGGATGTCAGAAGGAGGCCAGAGGAGGTGTAGAAAGGAGAACTGTGGTTGGAATATAAAATAAAATTAGAAATTAAAAAAAAAAACAAAAAGAAAAACAGGAAAAAAAGTCTAAACAAATGTAGCCTATATTATTTTTATAGCACTCACTTGCTGATTAGAACACAGGGAAAATATGAATGCAAATTAAGCACACATAGTTCTGTTAGCAAAGTTTTGCAGCATTTGTGCCAGTTCCTTAATGAAAGTGGCATTTTAAAATTTGAATTATTGAATAAGCATATACACATATGAATAGTTGTAGTATGTGTTTCTATATGTGTATAAATGTACATGTTTATATGTATATATCCATATGTCTCCTTTTATTAACTTTATTACAAAACTTTCAAATAAAAACATCACATGCAAAAATTAACCATATTAAAATTCTTTCATGTCACTGACCTCTATACAGTTAGAACACAATCATACTATGTTAAGGTAGCCATGTTATCAACTCTCTAAAAGAAATATTAATTATTTCCAAGATAATGTCTTTTAGCAAATTGCATTCTTTTTGCTTAGGTATAATCATAATAGATGTAATCCATAACCATTACTTACATACAACCTTTACTTCTGTAACTTATTATATAAATGATGTGGATTTAATTTCCTGACTAAATATTGAGTTATCGTTATACAGAATGACAGCTCTCTTATACTACTGTCTTGAGTGACACTGAGTTGTCAAGATCAAAGATTCCAGAGGGCTGTAATAGGCAAATGCTCCCCTTTTCCCTTTAGCAGAATCATATATTATTTGAAGGATGAGAATCAATAACTCAATTATGAAGCAAGTCTCACAACAATTGCTACAATGGATCTCTTTCTTAAAAGTTTAGATACTGAGTGAATAACTTTTTCTAATTCCCTGCTATGGCAAGTGAAAATTACTTATACCTGTTTATTTGGACAAACAACCTCTGCTCAGGTAAGAAATAAATAGTATTAGCTCCTTTGCAGACAGTTGCATCAGGAGAGGGGTGTCTTACACAGGGACCGTCAGGACTTGCAGGTCCATCACATCTTCCAAGCAGTGGGAGCAATATCCCTCATGCTACTCATTTTAAATTGATTTCCTAATACTCATATGTCTATCCAACTACTCAGCCAGATTAATCTATTCAAAGACAACTCTCTTGATTGTTCCCTGCTCCCTTGTATTCACTACCTCATTTCCATACAGTAATTTTATTCACAGAGAGAGGATACATTTCCTATTGGCTCTAAAATGACATATGAAGTCACTGGAAAGCAAATGACTACTTATCTTTACTTTCCCAGAGAAGTTCTGGTATATTCTTACCAACCTGCTAATAACAACCATTCACATTTATCAAAGTACCTGCAGTTTAAACAATAATTTACATGTCTCCTCTATTTATAGACTTAATGGTTACCTCAGCACTTCTGAAATACATATTGAGAGAGGCCTCAATATGTCCTGACTTAATTCAAAGACATAATTTTGGAAGAAATCCCAAAGATGCTGTTCACACATACTTGACACACTGATAAATATATATTGGTTTTTCGAGACAGGGTTTCTCTGTGGCTGTGGAGGCTCTCCCAGAACTAGCTCTTGTTGACCAGGCTGGTCTCGAAATCACAGAGATCCGCCTGCCTCTGCCTGCCAAGTGCTGTAATTAAAGGCATAAGCCACCACTACCTGGCCCCAAATTTATATTTCTAAAGAAAAAGCATGTCTGGTGGTGTTGCAAAGAACTCCCCAAATCCACATGATAGAAGATAAACTGTATTATTGTATGTGAAGATTTAAACTACCCAATAATCATAAGATTTCTTGCTGCATTAGTGATATTTCCTTGGCACTGAACACAAGCTATACCAAATGCCTCTGACCTGTCAGCCTGGTCCTTCCCCACAGAGACAAATCGCCTCTGTGATTTGTTGCTTCATGTCCTTTCTGTCTCCAATTATCTTCAGTCTTTGTCTAATGTCTATTGATTCTCTTCTTTTAAAACTTAGTTCTAAGATGCTTTGAGTCAAGCATACACTTGTTTTTTTCTTTCAAGAGAATGAACCAGGCTGGCCTGGAATCACAGAGATCCTTCTGCCTCTGCCTTCCAGGTGCTGAGATTAAAGGTGTGTGCCACTATGCGTCACCTGAGCACATACTTCTTAACCATGTTATATTGAGTGCCTGCTTTTAGGATGAGTATTTGATATACAAATTAATTTAAAACTCATACTCCCATTTATTTTTTATAAATTTAGTGACAGGAAAGATAATACATTATTTATTGATTTTTTTTTCAGATCTCACTTTTCCTGATGTGTCAAATGCTTAATAAACAGTTGTAAAAATTACTTTTCTCATTTTAGATGATTAATTATAATTAATGACCAAGTGCTAACATATGAATAGTATATACACATATATAACTGATATGAACTACATTTCACTGGCTTCCATTCAAAAAATGAATAAATTAAAAAATGAATAAATTTAAAAAATGAAAGAAAATTTAAAAATTAAGTTGTTTTGTTTTCATTTCTTGCCGTCCTTCTATATGATAGCAATTTTAGACTAATATCCTCATGGTTTGGTATTCATAAAGTTTACCATTTTGGCTGCTAAACATGGAGAAATAAGCCATCTTTATAACGTGTGTGAGACAAATAGCTTTCTTGCTTTAATATTCACTCTGTAATCCAAAGATGAAGCCTGGGCCATTACTCACAAACATTACAAATAATGCAAATATCCTTGAAGCTAATCCCCAAGAAAAAGAAATGAGCAGTGTAAAAATGAGTAAAGAACTTAAGAAACTCAGGAAAAGAATTCACACATACATAAAAATAATGCATAAAGCCATGAACACTATCATTTAGCTACTGCACAAGAGTAAATTAGGAGAACTCTAAATAGCTGCCTTTTTTTGGCTTGTGAAATTTGCCAAAATTCTAATAAATAATGACAGGAAAGTCACTTATATAGAAAGCTGGTGTTGAGTCCTGGTGGCAGGAAAGTTTTCCTTTTACAAGTTTCTTTATCTTTGTAGAATTTCCTATGTGAATATACTATCTTTACATCATTTCCAGTCCTTATAGTCTCCTTTACAGCACCGCCCATGCTGCTCTCCCACATTCTCTACTCAAATCACATCTATGTGTGTGGGTTTGGGCCTGAGTACTTAGGTTTTGATAACGTATGGGGGCTGGTGTAGGAAAAGCCCCTGATTACCTGTACAGATGACCACTCCCAAAATGGGGGTGTTCACAGGTATGTAGAAGGGTGTTGATAAGGGAGTGAGAGAGAGCCTGGTTCTCTCTCTTGGGGTTGAACCAGCATTGGGAAGCATTCTGGGACCAGACCACTTGGAGTAACAATCTGGTGACTAATTCCTCCTGTTAGTATAACTCCCCAATAAATTACCAGTTATTAAACTATCTCAGATTCCATTCATGTTCATCAATAGGCTGGCACTCATCCTTGGGGAAAAGTGACTGCCCCTTTCTCTTCAACTAGTGGTGGAATCTTCTGAATCTTCCCCCTTGCATGTTGATATCTCAACTGGGACAAGTTTGGTTGTGTGAAGGCAATTGTGTTATTAGTAGCTCATAGACTTAATATCCCTGTCTTATATAAAAGACATTATTTCACAGCAGCCCCCCAGGTCTTCTGGGATGGGAAAGTTGTCTTCAACATCCCTTGGAAATATTGGGGCATTGTGGTTCAAGACTAGGAACATTTTCACAGTGTTTTTTTTTTTTTTTTCTTTCCTGCAGTGATTATACCTTCATGAAACCTTTTTAAAGCACAGCACCAAATGGAGCTTAGCAATCTGAATAAATAAGCTCATTTTTAATAAAGTCTATTTATCCAAATAGCCCCATAATGGATAATTAATTGTGAAAAAATCAATTTTATAAAATTTTACAAAGCCATTGCACTGTTAATTAGACCATTTTGCAGTAGTTTGGGGGAATAAAAGAAGGTAGAAGCCTTGGCCAATAACTCAAGTATGTTTCCTATTACTGCAAGCTTATGTTTGGTTTTCTATAGTTAGCGTAAACTGAAATTCCAAGGTTAAAAAAAAATCTATAGTTGTATTAAACATTCTATATGGTTGATTGAATGGCGAGAGCTGTAATATTACAAACTGGAAGACAAATTATGAGGAAGTATCTTAGTCCCCTGAATACTTACTTATCACCCACTTCTGAGTGACCTAATGTTCTTATTAATGGTAGGTAAATAATTTGGGAATGTAAAGACGCTTAGCTCTGCCAGACCTAAGCCCAAGAATGTCATCAGATAACATCTGAGGCCTACAACAGTAATATTGTTCTATTATTATGAGCTTAATGTGACTGTTCCTATATGGGAACAAAGCACTTTGTGTAACCTCAAACTACAATCTTGGGCCATAGCCATTCCTATGTGGCTCTAGAATACACTATATCTGATTCTGATTCTAGAATAAATTCTCTCTCTCTCTCTCTCTCTCTCTCTCTCTCTCTCTCTCTCTCTCTCTCTCTCCCTTGCATTGAAGTTGTTATATTACCATAATCAAAGTGTCTAAATGATACTGAATATCTCAGCAAATTGTATGTCTCAAT